GACGCAGAAATTACACCCGAGCCAGGGACCGCTTTCGACCCTGAGGCGACGCCTCGGGGCCCAGGCCAAATCGAGGCTTCCGATGAGCAAGAGTACGCAGAAGTTGTAGCCTTCATCGAAAGCACCAGCACACCGCAGCCAGAGGACACAGAGCCCACCTGTCCATGCCCTCCCTCCCCTTTTGTGCCTCCGGCCCCCCGCAACCAGTCGAGCTCACCGAGGATATTCGCCAACGCATTGCAGTCAATCGCGCGCAGGCCAGGAAGCGTCGCAGGCTGCGTCTCGCCAAGAGGATAGCCCATTGGACGTTGCAGCCCGAACTCGGCATTGGGATATTTGACCAAAGTCGAGACGAATCGGCTGCGTGGGACTACGGCCGGGCAGGTTAGGAGCGGAACGGAGGTTGGAGCAACAGCTGGTGCGCGCAGTTTGCCAGCCTCACCCATACTAGCATCAGCTCGGCGGGCCACTTACCCTTCCCACTTTCCGTGGCCGTTGGGTCACTTCGTTTCCCACCTACCCCTCCCACTCTCGTTTCCCACACTTCGTTTCCCCCCTGCCATGGGCAGATGCAAAGATCGCGTGGGACTGACCTTGGATTTTTGACGGTGGACAGGACCACCAGCTCGCGAGGCGTGAGAGTTACTGTCAAGGAGGGAGGTCGGAGATCGGGATCAGGCTTGGGAGTGACAAGCGGCGCGGCAAAGTAGCAGTAGCAGCGAACGCCCCCGCTTGCGGCCGCCGCCCGCCCGTGCCACATACGTCTGGCACCCTCGGGGGAGAGTCGAGTGGTCGACGATCCTCGAATTAGGCTTCAGGAGTCACACGTCGCCAAGGTTTGCCGCGCAGGTCAGAACGCGCCATGCGCCCCTCCTCCCCGAGCCGCCCGCCAAGCACGCGTACCTCCGCCCGGCAGGAGAGGAACATAGGAGGGACCCAGGCCCGTTTGGGTGTTCCTTTCTTTGTCAGACACTGTATTGAGCGCCTTTGATGTGGCTTGGCGCGCAGGGACACTTCGCCATCACCCGACCAGGACCGCCCGTGCACTCTTTCTCTCTCTCTCTCTCTCTCTCTCTCTCTCTCTCTCTCTCTCTCTATCTATCTATCTATATGTCTCTCTCTCTCTCTTTCTCTCTCTCTTCCTGGCCACGGCTGCGAATCGATGGAGCGCACGTTGCGCACCCTCCTGTATGACAGGCGATTGTGGTCTGTAATATCGCCGAGAGCCTGGCACTGCAGTCCTGTCAGATACCTGCCCGACACTGCCATCGGGGGAGTTTGATAGGGGCGGGGTCGGCGGGACGTACTGTTCTGAACTTGTTCACTTGGTGCCCGTGCAGATGTCTCCGACGTCAAGTACGGCTGTTGCCTATGTCGAATTGACTATGCAAGTTGCCTGCCACCTTTTGCTGACAGGCTATATGCTTCAACAGCGTCGCAATCCAAATCCCCTCCCCCTCTCCCTTTCAAGACCGTCTCAATATATGCTCTGCAGCGCCGCCGCCGCGGCGCCGAAGCCTCAGCCCCCTCTCCCTCCTCCTCCTCCTCCTCCTCCTCCTCCTCCTCCTCCTCCTCCTCCTCCGCCTCCTCCTCCTCCTCATCCTCCTCTTCTTCCTCCTCCTCCTCCTCCTCCTCTTCCTCCTCCTCCTCCTCCTCCTCCTCCTCCTGATGTTCCTGCTCCTGCAGGCGCCAGAAAAGGTCCAGACGCCTACATGCCTCCACACCCACTGACCTTCATGAGCAACAGCACGACCCGGAAGTGGACCGCGACCACCACCAGCACTTGGCTGCCAGCGAGCTCGGCCGCCAGCGCGGCGCGGGCCGCGAGCGCCGGCCCTTCGCCGAGCGCGGTCCGCAGCTGGCGCGCGGTCGCGCGGTGGAGGGCCACGCCCAGTTCGGCCCCCCAGCGCCGCACCAGCGCGTTCGCGGCCGCCTCGGCCTCGGGGCCGTCGCCCAGGCCCTGCGCGCGGTCCCGCGCGAGCCAACGCAAGTGGCGCAGGGCGGCCCTGCCCAGCCGCCCGGCCGTCTCGTGGGCCAGCGGCAGGACCGCCCAAGGCGCCCGGCGTTCCTGCTCTTGCTCCTCGTCCGATTCCTGATCCATCCTCCCCCTCTTGGGGCACGTCGCCTTACCCAGCCCTTTTTTCCACTGCATTTTCCCCCACATCCCTGATCAGGGCAACTCCTCTCGGCATCGTTTCTCGATGGGCTGGCGGCGTTACTTGTTGGTCAACAGCCTCGTGAAACGGGTCAAATGGCGTCCACACTCTAGGCGGGCCACGACTAGGCAGAGAAAAGCGGAAAGCAAGACAGGCGCAGCAGCCGGGCGGCAGCTCAGAAGGGCGAAAAGAGCATGTAGACCCATTCCCGGTGGCGTCCGAAAACCCCGGCGGCAGCCAGCAAGTAGGCGCAGCCAAAATGGCGCGGCGGCGCGACCGAAATCACGTAGAGGTCGAAAACTGTGAGTGGCCCGGACGGCAGTGCCAGAACGAACAAGACCGACACGCACCCCCAGATGACATCCGTGAAGTGGACGAACACAAATGTCGGAACATCGTGTCAGCGCAAGAATGAAGAGGGGCAACCTCGTCACGGATCGGACTGCAAACGGCAGTAACTCTTGTTTGTACAGCAGCGGCACTTGTCGAAAGCGGAATCCTTGCAGGAGAAAGCAGCCGACGGGCGCACAGAGCCACACATGCCGAAGTCCTTACACCGTAAATGGTCAGCAGCGTAGCGAAACCCCACTGAACCCTGTCGGTCACCAGTGGAAGCCGACACCAGCCAGGGGCCACCTGACCGCCCATTCCCAGTGTGATCCTTGCATGGAATTCGTAGCGAGACCCACTGAACCCTTTCGGTCGACACCAGCCAGGAGCAGGCCAGGGGCCACCTGACCGCCCATTCCCAGTGTGATCCTTGCATGGAATTCAAGCTGTCAGAGCACCATCAGACAGCGGTATTGGCGGCAACCTCAGCCGCGCGGGATTAAGCCAGTGAAACAAAGGAGAGGAGGAGGGGACGTGAACGCCAGGCACGGTAGGCACCCCGGTGTGGCAGCTAACCGCTGCAGCATTAAGACGCAGGAGGAAAGGAAAGGAAGTGCACGCCAGGCACACGGTGCGAGAGGAGAGGAGGAGAACGGTAGAACATTTACTCGAGCAGTTGTTGCTGACTATGCCATTCGTGGCCGTGCCATTTCCGACCGCGCTGACTATGCCAACCATGACTGTGCCAACCCTGGCCATGCCAACCCTGACTGTGCCAACTAAGCTCCTCCCCAGCGGAGGGCTCCATTTCCTCCTGCGACTCGCGACTACCTTAACACTCTTCCCAGTGGAGGCGACTGACCGTCGCACAGTCTGTTGGAATCCGAAGCGGCTGGGTGTTCCCAGGGATCGCGTCGCCATTGGGTTGTGTTGGACGGTCGGCAAGGTCCTCTGTGTCTTCGCCCTGCCCCTTCTCCTGCGGCTCGCGACCCATTTCGCAACCTTCCCCGTGTAGGTGACTAACCATCGCAGAATCCTTGGAATCCGAAGCAGCTGGGTATTCCCAAGGGTCGTGTTGCCAGCGGGTTGTGTTGGACGGTCAGCAAGGTTCTCTCTGTCTCCTCCCTGCCCCTCACCCTGCGACTCGCGACTATCCTCACACTCTTCCCGGTGGAAGCGACTGACCGTCGCAGAGTTTGTTGGAATCCGAGGCGGCTGGGTGTTCCCAAAGGCCGTGTTGCCAGTGGGTTGTGTTGGACGGTCGGCAAGGTCCTCTCTGTCTTCTCCCTGCCCCTTCTCCTGCGGATCGCGACCCATTTCGCAATCTTCCCGGTGTAGGTGAACGACCATCGCAGAATCTGTTGGAATCCGAGGCGGATGGGTGTTCCCAGGGGTCGTGTTGCCAGCGGGTTGTGTTGGACGGTCGGCAACGTCCTCTCTGTATTCTCCCTGCCCCTCATCCTGCGACTCGCGACTATCATCACAGTCTTCCCGGCGGCAGCGACTGACCGTCGCAGAGTCCGTTGGAATCCGAGGCGGTTGGGGTTGGTGGGGTTACTTCGTTTGGTCGCGGCCGCAGGCGGAGAGCGCAAGCGGCGAGTCGTAAGTCCGGGGCGCGGGCCTACTAATTGACAACAGGAGCAAACTAGAACCGCGCACCTAAATTGCCTAAGCTGCCTAAGCGGCGCTTCAAATGAACTGCAAGCTGCTGGTGGGGTTACTTTTTTGGTCGCGGCCGCGGGCGAAAGCGCACACGGCGTGTCGTAAGTCCGGGGCGCGGGCCTACTAATTGACAACAGCAAACAAGAGACGACAACCTGCTGGTGGGGTTACGCGAAGCGTCTAGAATTACTACAAATGCGCGCAGCCCACCAGGCAAAACCATCTGCCAAAAAGATGTACTGACAACAAGCCAACGAGCGATCTTCGGTGCGCGGGTTATGACGAGCGACACACACACTCTCTCTCTCTCTCTCTCTCTCACACACACACACAAAAAAAGACCCATAGGGGGGGGGGGGGGGGCGGAAGGGGCTTTGGGTGAGTGTTGTCGGGTGGGGGTCCCCGCTCGAACGGGAGCCTCCCCAGGGGTCCGACAACCCACACCAAAATCCATAGCCAGGCCTCCTCCCTCACATCCCCCTACGGGCATGCGTGTGGGTTGCACGCTCGTCAGATTAAGGGGGCGCAAGGTGGCCAAATCCAAGCGAGCAGACAGTCGCTGCCGCATCGCGCGCAGCGATCGGGGAGACCCAATGAGCCCGTACCAAAGGTCAGTCTGGCGAAGGGTCGCTCGTACATGTAACAGACACTTCCCCGCGCCGTTTTGTTTATCCTGGGTCGTTTCTCGACGGCCCCTCACGCGGGGGTGTGTGTGTGGGGGGGAGGGGCGAGAACTGCGAAAAAGCCTCTGGCACGACACGCTCGAATCGCAATGACTAGGGACAACTGGACTGTGACCCAGGCTGCCAGACGGACGCGGGGCAGGGCCCAGGGGGAGGTGCGGCAAGCCACCTCCGCGTCGAGGTCGACGGTGAGCTTCACGGTGAAGTCGTTGCGGTTCCATGTCCACTCCGTGCCCTCGGCGGGACTCGGGCGCTGGCTGGGCACAGGGCAATGGTAGGAGGAGGGATCATGATTGTCAAACGCTATTGCATCTTTTTCACGGATGCCCTCAAGCACCTCTGGGGACCTCCCAGGAACTCCCAGGACCTCCCTGCGCCTTCGGGCAGGAAAGCGGAGGAAAGGGAGGGATAGGAGGGTTAGGATGCACAGTGCGAAGGCCATGCGTATACTGGCACGTCGACAGGAGAACTAACGCGCGAACACTTGGGCTCACACTCGCGGGCCTGTGGCTGCCAAGCAAGAAGAAAGAAGGGAGGAGAAGGGAGAGGAGAGGAGGGAGGAGTTCTGAAGCCTCGAGCGCTCGCTCCAGCGGCATGCCCAAGAAAAAGGGGGGAGGAGACGGGGAAAGGACACAATCAAATGCACTTGTCGCGCACTTGGTCGGCCCACTGCTGTCTTGGCCACCCCGTGCGCCTGCGAGGTGCTTAGGCTTGGATATGCCGTCGATGTTGATCACTGCCGTCTCGAGCGCTGATATTTCCGTACAGCGTGGAGTTTGCTGGTCAGTGCGACAAAAAATCAGAAGAAACGAGCATACGCACGAGCATGGGACTCTCCGATGCTCGAGGGGGGGGCATTTGCAATGAAATGCGTCAAGCCTCGACCAGTCGGCTTGTAGACGCCAGAGCGAATCCAAGGAATGCACCAAGTTCCTTACCATACTCAAAACAATACGAAGGTTTCAGCGAATACTGACAATTGAATGCGACCACGTAGTTGCTTGAAGATGTCACTGCTTTCCCCCCAGCCAGAGGGACAATTCGTTTCCTCTTCTCCCGCCATGCGAAGAAGTCCATACACACACTCACACACACACACGCACACTTTGGTTCCCCATGATACCGGAGAACAAAAAAACATAACATCTTTAGGGCTATAGGGCTATGGGGGTACAAGGCTATAGGGCTATAGCGCTAGAAGGCAATACGGCTATAGGGTTATAGGGAAGTTGGGCTATAGGGCTATAGGGCTATAGGGCTACAGGGCCATAGGGCTATAAGGCTATAGGGCCATAGGCTATGGGGCTATAGGGCTATAGGGCTATAGGCTATAGGGCACCCAAGCACCCGGGAATCCACCTGGGCACCTGGGCACAACGGCACCCGAGCACCTGGTGGGCATCCAGGCACTGGGGCACTCGAGCACCCGGGCACCTGGGCACCCCGGCACCCGGGCACCCAGGCACCGGGGCACCCAGGCACCCGGGCACCCGGGCGTGGCGTCGAAATCGGCGCCACACCTCACCTAACCATATGAACCCGCTAGGACCCCTACAGAGCCAAGCTCTGATTGGGGAATTTGCCGTGCTCACAAAACCCGTAATCAATGTTTGTATGTGTATGTGTAATCGGGAGCGGCCAAGAGGGGGGTGTCCAAGAGGGGTGGGTGCAAATCATGACCGGCGGCATGTGTGCGGCCCAGCGGGGGGGCCAGGGACGTAATGAAATAAGAAGAGGCGCCATGAAATCTTGGGAAACATCATGGCCCACGCCATGATATCCACCCCCCCCTAGTCATCACCCCCCTCTTTTCCGCCCCTGATGTAAGGTGTTGTCCCAATCCACCGCCGGGATTCATAGCACGTTGAGGCGTGGTAGAATGCCAAATGCTGTCTGGTATGGTGCCTGTAATCGTCAATGGATCCCCCCCTCGAAACACTTAGCTGCGAGCACCGCCGAACCCCCTTTTCCTCACACACTCACTCAAGAGCCGCATCGGCAAAAGAAAAACTACATGCACATGTCTGGGAGCCGTTTCAATGCCTTGGAGCTCGACCACCAGCAACCTATGTGCAAATGGCGCGCGAAGGTGATCAGCAGCGCTTGCGTGCAGGAGGGGGCGAGCAGGATCCAATGGCCGAGGAAAGAAACCCTCGTAAACAAGCAAATGACGTGCGCTCCCGAGACCACGACCCGTCGACGTACCAACCCTTTCTAAACGCGAAACGGCTACCAATAGGGGCGCTCCATACAAAAGAACACATTGAGAGTACTGCAGTGCTGCTGAACATTTCACCAAAAACATCATGGACGTAGTCAACGTCCCCCGTTCACACACGCACTCTCGCAACTCAGACCGCAAACAAAAAAAGATGACAACGACGAGTGCACCCAAGGGAACCGAGAGGTCTTGTATGTAAGACACCACTCCTCGGGACCTCCCAGGAACCCACGAAAGTGTCGACATGTGCGCAGGTGGCAGCACACCCCAGGGAGCCGCGAGGTCTAATATGGATGTGTGTGAGACACCAATCCGCTGGGCCCAGCCTCCCCAAAAACCCACTAAAGAGGCGACATGTGCGCAGGTAGCAGCTCCTCCGGGGAGCCGCGAGGTCAATCTGGATGCGCGCGGGACACCACCCCACTGGACATCCCAGGAGTCCACGAAAGTGGCGACATGCATCTGCGCAGGTGGCAAGCCCTCGGGAAGCCGCAAGCAAGGTCTACCTGGATGC